AATTTAACTTGCCTTATGCTGTAGGAACCCTGTAAATGCAGAGTGTTTATTTCATTGATCTATATTTGTGACAGTGTAATGTCAATAACAAGCTTGGGGGAAAAAAACTCCTTTCTGCACTGAAATAATGTTTTTGTCGAAATGTTAGCTTAGTTTGAGATGTATTAAATAGCTTCTCTGTGCTTGGAGCATATTGATGCCCTCTTACAAACATGTCTGTGTATTGAGAGGATGGGATCATTTGCTGAACGGGTCATGTGACATACGGCGCCACGCTACAGCAGTTTTAACTCCTTTGAAAAGTCTTTTGTTTGGCAACAAAACAGACATGACGTTAATCAAACATGTTTAGTTATTTGAGGTAGGATTTAATCTAAAGAAAGACGTCTAGAGGCGAAATGTTAAAGGACAAATCACAGTAGAGCCATGGATGATTTATTTAGATTCTGTCTCACCAATGCTTGGTGTATAATTGTCACCTGACTTTGTGGGGCGTTTCTTGTCTGCGCTTTTACATCGATGACTGTAAGCTGAATGTTTGACCCAATTGGTGTTTGGTCCAATTCCAGTAATCCCTATGGACTTGTATTTCCTTAACTGAGAAAAAAAAAATATATATATATACAAATGAAAGATTTAAAGAATTCATTGAAAAAAAGAGTGTAAGACAGTTTAAGCACCACTATCGTTAACTTATACTGAAGTTGTTTCTGTTGTTTTTTTGTTTTTAGGCAGCAGTAAACGAAGGAGAAAAGAGGAGCTGCTGGGTAAGCCGTTCAGGAGACCCCAGCACGAACTGGATCCCAATGGCCTGGTTCCTCTACCTGTCAAAGTCTGTTTTTCATGCAATAGGTAAGCCACCTGTTTACTTTTTTTGTGTCTTTCCTCCAATGCCATAGCTTAACCGAGACTGATACTCTTAAAAAAAAAACAAAAAAAACATTTTGATTCTCCAAACCTCTGCAAAGTTGGATCAACCTCAATACGTCAATATGAGCATTTATTCCAGTCATGTTTGATCTTCCATCTGGTTAAAGGAACTAGAGACAGGATGAGAAAATGAGACTCAAGTGGCACGCCTGGCGCTGAGGGTAACTGCAGCCAAAAGCTAGCAGGAGCATGCAGAAACTATTCACTGACCGGCAGTATTCACAGCGCTGGAACCCTCCTAACTACGTGTCGGTTTTACTATGAGACCGTCACGCATATTTTATAACCGCAACATCTCAAGTATAGGGATGGGCATCGTTTAAATTGAATTCAGGACAGTGGAGAGATAAGTGGGTGGACTCAGTTTTGCTTTTGAACAGTTCACAACCAATCAGCATTAAAGGGGAACGCCTTTATTTTTATTTTTTACTCACCCATATGAGTTTTGTGTCATTTGGAGCTGTTCCAAAGATATTCCGTTAGGTTATATCCAGGTAACGTCTTCCTATGGGCAACGAGTTGAAGGCACAAACTAAACTGTTCATAATTTATTCTTTATGGTACAGCAGCATTCATAACATGTAGGCCAATCACTGTCCCTCAGACATCCGCTGTTATATTTTTCATATTGATATTTTTGTTTAAACAAAGCGGCGCTTGTATGACGTCACCTGCGCACACCGGCTACCGTTCATTCATCCTGTCCGTTGAACTGCTGCTAGTTTTCCTCACATGCCTGGAATATGTGGAATGGAATTGAATGATTCAGATTAGCTCGCCGAATGAATAGAAGGGGTAGAGCGTAGCCGCCTGTCACAACTTCAGTCCGGCGCGCAGATGAGGTCATACACACCACGTTTTGTTTGTAATAAATATAAATAATATATCCGCAGATGTCTGGGGAACAGTGATTGGCCTACATGTTCTGAATGCTGGCGTACCATAAAGCATAAATTATGAACAGTTTAGTTTGTGCCTTCAACTCATTGCCCAAAGGAAGAAGTTACTTGGATATAACCTAACAGAATATCTTCAGAACGGCTCCAAATGACACAAAACTAATATGGGATGACATGATGTAATAACCTAAAATCAAGGCGCCAATGTGAAAAAAACGGTGTTCCCCTTTAATAAACTGGACATGGATTCTTTCCCAATTCCTGCCCCTAGTCCGTTTAAGTCAGCTTTTTATAATGATAGGTTATGGTTTGGGGAAACTGTTTGTGTGATTCATATTACTTTACCCTCCTCTCGCTCTCAGATATGCTAACAGTTTGGTCAGTTTGACCTCAAGGATATCAGCGTCCAGAAAATGATTTACAGAATATTGTTGACCATTGTTTCGTCACAGGTTCTTTGTTTATTTGTTACATTAAAAAAATGTAAGTAAACCCTTGCAAATCAGTGAATTGTCCCCTAGCGCCACCATCAGGCCCAACCTTTATATTAGAATAATCTTTGTCTTGAATTTTTCATATAAATCTTCTCAAATTCACCTCGCAACATTAACTCAGTATTGCAAAAAGTCTCCCTGATACCATCCTATAATGAATAAACATTTGTGTTTTCATTGTGTTTAACTTGTTAAATTCCTATTTCTATTTCATAGTTAGGTTTACCCTCAAACACTGAAAGAAAGACTTTCAGAAATTCAAAACCAACGATGCCATGGATTTCCATCGCATTCTGAGTGTAGTAGTGTCTGATTTGCATTTACCTATTGGAGATGAAACCTTTATATTGATTATTCATGATTAAGCAATTATTTAAATCATTATTAACTAATCTGGTAACTAAATCATTAACTGGAGAAAACGCCAACTGTAATCTTAAAATGATTCCTTTTTAAATGCTGTTTTAAATCACAAAAACAAATTAATATAAATTGTTTTTTGTCTAAGTTGAATCTTAACGAGGTAATCAACCAGTTAATCTTAAAACCAGGTCATCTGCGTAGGTGTCGCAGAGAACAAAACGACGTCCGCAGACCTCTCCCAAATTGTAGGTGACCTCAGACAGTGCCGCAGACAGGAGGCTGGCTTGTTTTGTTTTTATGATCGCGATTGCGGAAAACAACTTGTGAAGTTGGACCAGCTAAAAGAAGAAGGTGTGCGAGAACGATGGACCCGTTTTTCCACCTGGATCCCCGCACTTTTTCGCCCTCATGTCCCTCCGTTGTCAGACAAAATTTGCCCCAATTCCTCTCCGCCTCGAACGTATCTAGACCCACAGCGTATAGCGCAGACCACGCTCAAAATTGAGCATAAATTAAAAATGTCTGCGTCAAGTTCACTGCGACACACTGCTGCAGGGAGTATAACCAGTCCTTTACACACCTTACCCATGACTCCCTATGTGTTCACATATTGGCCACCTGGTGTCGCCATTGTCCTTTCAACCAAGTCACTAAAGACACTCGACATACTGGACTTAATATTCACGGGCAAAAAAGAGGCGCTGAATACCTTTTTTTTTTTTTTTTTTTTTTCTATTTATAAAGACAGATTTCCATCACATCAGTAATCACAGCTTCATCCATTTAAGATTATAACTGAGGATATAAGCAGAAAGTTCAAATGATTTTGTCCATGTTGCCTTTCTGGTATTTTTTTTTTACAGAATATCACTAACTTCATTGTAAAGATAACAAAAAAGAACAGAATTAATGGGGATTGCACCACCTCAAGTGATAAAAACCCCAAAGACATAAGAGGGCAAGACATATTTCAGAAGAACAATCAAATGATGTCGGATCTAATTGGTTTCACGTACTCAGTCCATTTGGACCAAATCTTATAGCATTTTTTTTTCTAATTGGAGGGAAAAACAGATCCTTTCCATCACATAAATCTGGAAAACAATTTCAACCCATTCATCAATAGTGGGTGGGTCTGGTTTCATCCATTTCCTTGTGATGGCCTTCTTACTGGCAGCCAGTAGTGTAGCCAGCAGTTTTTTGTCTTAGTTAGTCCATGTGTCCAATTGTAGATTTCCCAGGTACAATGTTTCACATTTTAATGGAATACTTACATCGAGTGGTGTTACCTTATTCTCACATGTCCTTTGTCTATACTCTGTTACTGCTTTATGGTTTCCATCTCCATCATGAACTTCTCCAGGGTTTCTAGTCTAGTCACTCACTGAGCGTTGTAGTTCTTTTACTCTTAGACGTAGCAGCAGTTTGAGCTTTTGTGATGCCGCCCACATTGAGATGCTGTTCAATTGTAACTGAAAGCAAACTAATCCTGTGGAATAGAGCTGACCTGATTTATACACGTATTAATGGAAGAGAAACATGATTAAAAAATGTATCCTGTATCCCCCCCCTCACCCTGTCGGTACTGATGGACCTGGGTTTCCTCAAACAGGAGTTGCAGATTGGCTCCGCTGATCCAGTGTGATTATTGTCCACTTCTTTTCCACATGGACTGTCTGGACCCCCCACTGACAGCTTTACCTGCTGGCAAGTGGATGTGTCCAAACCACGTTGAGCATTTAGTGGTAAGAGAAAAAGATGCAGCTGCCATTAAATTCACGTTTTTGCATGTTTTCTCAGCCGCCTTCAGGTTTTTAATGTGAATACACGTTTCATTCCAGCTGAACCAGAGAACCCTTAGCTTGTCAAGCCGCTGTCAGCTCTTTGACCAATTCCAGGACAGGATATCTCAGCATGCTGTCAGGTTGAACTTTCTTCGTAGAGTCCATCGACAGAATGCTCCCAATAGGCAGTCCTCTTACCAGAAAAAGAAAACAATAAAGGTACGTTCCTTTACATTTGATAATATGTAGTTTACTGTATACAGTCATGGCCAAACGTATTGAGAATGAGACAAATATTATTATTTCACATGATCTGCTGCCCTCTGGTTTTTCATGTGTGTATGTCAGATGTTGTCGTCACATACAGAAATACAATTGCAATCATATTATGAGTACTAACAGCTTTTAATGACAGTTAGAATGAGTTAATGCAGCAAGTCAATATTTGCAGTCTTGACCTCTCTTCTTCAGGACCTCTGCATTACTCCCTGGCAGAATCAACTTCTGGACCAAATCCTGACTGATAGCAGTCCTGTCGTGCACAATCAATGCTTGCATTTAGTCAGAATTCCTAGGTTTTGGTTTGTCCACCCGTCTCTTGATGATTGTCCACAAGTTTTCAATGGGATTAAGATCAGGGGAGTTTTCAGGCCATGGATCCAATCTCTCTGTTTTGTTCCCTGAGCCAGTTAGATATCACCTTTGCTTTATGGAAGGTGCTCCATCATGCTGGAAAAGGCATTGTTCATCGCCAAACTGCTCTGGGATGGTTGGGAGAAATTTCTCTCGGAGGACATTCTGGTACCATTCTTTATTCATGGCTGTGTTTTTAGGTCAGACTGTGAGAGAGCCGACTCCCTTGGCTGAGAAGCAACCCCACACATGAATGGTTTCAGGATGCTTTACAGTTGGAATGAGACAAGACTGGTGGTTGCACTCACCTCGTCTTCTCTGAATCAGCTGCTTTTCAGATGTCCCAAACAATCGGAAAGGGGATTGATCAGAGAAAATGACTTTCCCCCAGTCCTCAGCAGTCCACCCCCTGTACCTTTAGCAGAATATCAGTCTGTCCCTGATGTTTTCCTGGAGAGAAGTGGCTTCTTTGCTGCCCTCCTTGAAACCAGGCCTTGATCCCAGAGTCTCTGCCTCACAGTGCGTGCAGATGCACTCACACCTGCCTGCTGCCATTCCTGAGCAAGCTCTGCACCGCTGGTAGCCCCATCCCACAGCTGAAACACTTTCTTTTTAGCTGCGATTCTTTCCTGTTAGGTCAGTTTTGTGCAGTGCAACGATGACTACACTTGTTTTTTTTTAGAGATAACCACGGTTCACAGAAGAGAAACAATGATGCCAAGCACCAGCCTCTTTTTAAAGTGTCCAGTGGTGTCATTCTTACTTAATCATGACAGATTGATCTCCAGCCCTGTCCTCATCACCACCCACACCTGTGTTAATGGAGCAATCACTGAAACCATGTTAGCTGCTCCTTTTAAGGCAGGGCTGCAATGACATTGAAATGTGTTTTGGGGGATAAATTTAATTTTTTAAGGCAAATATTGACTTTGCAATTAATTGCTGTTACACTGATCACTCTTTATAACATTCTGGACTATATGCAAATTGCCGTTATAAAAACTGAAGCAGTAGACTTTGTAAATATTAATATTTGAATCATTCTCAAAACTTTTGGCCATGACTGTACATGAGTGTTCATTTTATGCATTATTATTTATGTTGTAGATTAGTGTCTAAGGCTACGTTCACACTGCAGGCCTGAAAACTGAATTTCAATTTTTTTTGTGAAATCTGATTTTATTGCGCTCATATTTGCAAATATATGCAGGAATTAAAGTATTCCGGCCCCCTTGCTTAGTAGCAAAGGAGCGCTCTGAAACTAACAGTATTAGCCAATCAGAAGAAGTGGGTGGCTCTTAGGAAAGCTTGTACCTCCTTTCGTTAGGGCTCCATTCAACGGAGAGACGTGTTAAAAGTAAAAAAATTATTAAAAGAAACTTTGTTTTTGGAGAGAAGGACGATAGAGAGCACGGATTTGCATGAAATCGGGCACGATGAAGGTCATGAACTCAAGCATGCTGCACTCTAGGAAGCTTATTTAAGCATCTAGCAGCAAAAAGGTGCTGCGCAAACATTAGACCCTGGTCTGTTCATGCGGATGTGCAGACTACACGTTTGCTAGGAGCTACAGCAACAGCTGATGGACGAGCGTCAATAACTGACCATGTATGCGAGTTGAAAGTAAGGGTTTGTGCTTTCCTTACCAAAAACACAACCTCTCATTCACACTAGAAATAGATGCACTTTTGCCATCTTCTGACCGTTTTTGGTATTGGATTTTAAAAAGTCAAATTTAGTCTTCAATCATTCATGCAATCTCTGATCCTATGCCCCCTCACCCCCCTGGCATGGCTTGAAAATACACTGCATGCGCAGTAGAGGACGCCATGACTTCGCAAGCATGCTTTGTGTTTACAGAAGTAAACAGGGATACTAGTGCTGGAGCGCATCTAGCCATCTTTCCCAACCTTAAAAACTCAGTCTTTTCAAGATGGTTGAAAAAAATACTGCACTCTCCATTATCATCCGCCATGGTTGGGGTTTTTCTTCTCGCTTCTGCATAGCAAGATGCAGAACGGTAATAATGACGTTCAGATCAGAGGAATGCGACCTGGCCGTTCAGACTCGGGTCGCATTTGAAAAGATCAGATTTGAATCGCATTCAGTATGAAGGTTTGTGTCTTTATTATTCAATCAAAAAAGAAGTTGCTTCAAACAAACAAACAAACAGAATCAATAAAAAGTAACTTCAATGAAAAGATAAACGTTTTCAATCATAGAAAATAGTTTTTGAATGCAAATAAAAATATTTGAGACTCCAAAAATTGCATTTGAACACTTTTTTATTATTATTGAAAATGTTCTCTTTGGTTGAAGCAATCTATTTTGCCTTTGAACCATACATGGGTAGGACATTGTTTCTTAATCATTCAACTCCCAAAAAGTTGTTTCAATCAAAAAAAAATAAATAAATTCAAAGAAAAAACTGTGCAAATGCAAAAAACAAAAAGGTATTGAAGAGAATGTGTTTTTTGTTGGTTTTTTTTTGTGAAAAAAGCATTTCAGAATTAAACATCCCCAGTTATTGACTTCATACACTCACTAGATCTGAATGCCCTGTTAAAAAACTTCACACCCATGAGTAGAGGTAATGCAGCCTGATGATATTTACACAACATTGGATACCGTTCCCACCATGTTAGACGGGGGGAACGGTATTTGACAGGCCTATAAACCCCATCAGATAGCGGTCTGATGCTGTGTAAATATCAGCAGGATGCAGTACCTCTACTCTACTCTGTCAATCAAACATGATCTATCTGACCAATAGAGAATAACCTGCCTATTGTGGAATGTTTGTATCAAAATGATTTATTCAAAAAAATTTGAACTTAAAAAATTTTTTGCACTTCAAAAAAAATTGTGATTCAAATTAAACAATTTGAACTTCAATTTTTTTCCACTTTAAAAAAAAAAAAGAAAAACACATTCTCTTCAATACTTCAACTTTTTTTTTTTTTTTTTTTTTTTTTTTGCATTTGCACAGTTTTTTCTTTGATTACATGTTTTTTTGTTTTTTGAATGAAACAACTTTTTGGGATTTGAATGATTAAGACACAAATGTCCTACCCATGTATGGCCCAAACACAAAATAGATTGCTTCAGCCAAAGAGAACATTTTCAATAATAATAAAAAAGTGTTTAAATGCAATTTTTGGAGTCTCAAAAATTTTATTTGCATTCAAAAACAATTTTCTATGATTGAAAACGTTCATCTTTTCATTGAAGTTACTTTTTTATTGATTGTGTTGTTTGTTTGTTTGAAGCAACTTCTTTTTTGATTGAATAATAAAGACAAAAATGTCTTACCCATTATGGTCCTATCAAAAAAACAATTTTACTTCTATTAAATAAAACATTTTCAAAGAAAAGCAGTGTTCAAATGTATTTTTCTTTGTCTCAAATATATTTTTTGCGTTCAAAAACTTTTTTTCTTTGATTAAAAAGTTTTTTTTTTAAAGAAGTGAAGGTTTTTATAATTGAAAATATATTTTTTGATTGAAACAAACTTTTTTTGATTGAATGATAAAGAAAAAATCTACCTTCATAATTCAGGGCCACATAGCCAAATGGCCTGTATCGCTTTAGAAAAAATCAGATCTGTGTTGCTCAGACTGCCATGAAAAGATCAGATACAGGTAACATAAAGGCAAAAATATTTAGGTCACCTCAGGCTGCTGTGTGAATGTAGCCTAAATGGACTTCTGCAGATTTTTCCTTACAGTAATCGTTAAAATGGAAAGGAATTTGAATATTGGCTAAACTGATCTGCTTTTAAGACACATTGTTGTTGTTAAGGTGCCAGATGCAATCAAGTCTCAGTACCAGAATCCTCCCCCCATGCTGCATCCTGCAGGGGTGCATGAGATGGAGTTGGTCTGTAGCAGACTACCCGGCCTCCTTCCATCTAAGCACCTAACAACTGAGATTGAGCAAGAGGAGGTGAGTAAAGCTGCGTTTCCTCTCATATTTCCTGCTATATTTGATTTATTCCAAATGGTGATGTATCATTTCTTTACCTCAAAAAATGTACAGACACGTTCCTGTTTGGATAATGTGAACAACAATGAAATGGTTACAAATTTATAATAAATAGAAAACAACGCAGTCATATTAAAGTTTTCACAACTTTTGCCACATTGATCCCCCCCTGTAGTCTATAGGGGAGGTACGGCTGACGGCAGCCAATCACAAGATGCCCGAATCTCCCCCTCTGATGGCAAAACAAACCGCGCTTGCATAGAGCACGACCAGCTGATATTGCAGATTTTCTCCATGCTACGTTGAAAACACCAACAAAAACATGTTAACCCTTAAATGCAGAGGGTCTTATGAGCAAATTCTGCCTGAAATTACATTTGAATCAAAAGCAAGTACAGCTCCCAAACTAAATTGTTAATACAATTTTTTTTGTTTGTTTGACAGAGAGGCATTGAGGAATATTTTTCAGGCGGAACCACTATTTTAAATGTCACCGTATCTGATTTATAGGTGATTAAACAAAGAAAAAAAAAATGAGCCTCCCTAAATTCTTTTCCAAAAAAAGTATTGAAGAGAATGTGTTTTTTTTTTTTTTTTTGTGTGTGTGTGTGTGTGTGTGTGAAAAAAAAAGCATTTCAGAATTAGACATCCCCAGTTATTAATTTCATACACTCACCAGATCTGAACGCCCTGTTAAAAAACTTCACACCCATGAGTAGAGGTAATGCAGCCTGATGATATTCACACCACATTGGATAACGTTCCCCCCATGTTAGACGGGGGGAACGTTATCTGACAGGCCTATAAACCCCGTCACATAATGTTCACCCTGTCTAACATGGGTAGGGCTGGGTACCGAACTTCGGTTCTTTTATGGTAGCGACCGAAATGCTTCGGTTCTACAGAGTATCGAAACATGCCTCGTCTTTCGGTACCAAGTTTGGGTGATTGGCTGTAACACTTAACGTGATTGCGTCATCCAGGAAAAATACACAGGTGGTCACGCCTACAGCCAGGGTTCATGTGTATCTGTTGTGAACTGGTTGCGAGCGTCATGGAACCCCTTTAAAATGCCCCGCGGGTCAAAAGTGCGGCTTCACTTTATTAAGACTGATGCCAATAGTGGGCAATGCAATACATCGTGCACGGAAACAATTTAAGAGCAGAAAGTTGCTCTGTGTTTGACTGCAAGAAGAGAGGACCGCAGCCGGCCCGTGGGCAGAGCAAAGCCAGAGCGGAGTGAATCATGCTGCTTTCAAACTGGACGCAGCAGTTTGCTGCTTTTTTGCTGCTTGTACCAGCTTCTGACGCGCGGCTGAAGCAGCTTTGCTGCTCTGGCTGCGCGGTCGAAAAGTGGTTCTGACGCGCGTTGGGCGGAGCTACTCTATCCTTTATTCTCCTTGCTGCTATATTTGCTGTGATCAGTGGGAATAAAGTAGTTTTATTATGTTTTTAAGTGGGAAAATCCACCTGAAAACTTAATCAGTGCAGTCAGTTCATCCTGCCTTCCAATATTTCTCTCAGAGCCGCTCAGACCCCCCCATACCAGCGGTGCGCTGGTATGGATTCCCATTCAACGGGCTTGTTTGTCAGACATGGTAATTTTTCTAAAGGAAAACTGCTAAGGAAAAACGT